GACCTGAGCCGAAGGCAGTCGCCCAACCAACTGAGCCACCCAGGCACCCCAAGACTACCAACGTTTAAACTAGAAATGGTTCTTAGCTACAAGGAATGAAGATTCCAAGATTTCATTCAAACATCTGCCAGGTAAACAGGTGAGTACTGAGGAGACTGGAAAGTTTTAACAAATAAACACAAAAGCAGCACCTTAAGTTGGGGACTCGTGAGACAACTGGAGGCCTTCTCAGCCAAAAAAAAACCCTCCGCAGAACCCAGGGGAGTGGGGACCAGGGACATGGAAAGGACGCCAAGCTTGTGACATCGTGTCCAGTCCCACAGAAGACAGCTGGCTCCAGGGGCTCTGGGGACATTCCAGGGAGCTGAAGTATCTATAGTCCCTATACCCGTTCTGTTATTGGGGTTTTGGGGTGTTTTTATTTGCCGGGGACAATAAGGGTGGGGTGAGGGAGTGATATAAATTCCCAGGTACTGCCGACTCTGTGAAGTAAGGATGTTGGTCAAAAGGTACCCACCTAGAAGCCCGAGGGCAGTACTCCGGCAAAAACGGGCAGGCAGAGACTGCCTTCAGCAACCACAGCATGTGCTCACAGCACAGGGATGCAGGGTGCCTGCCCAGGAGAGCAAAGGAGGGTATGCCCGCCCTGGGGTACGGGGGTGGGGAGAGGGGACGGGCTTGGGTCACAAATCCTGGGTGAGCCAAGAACGAGGAAGACCTTGTCAATTCAGGAGGAAAGCATGCCAAGTGCAGCTGTGATCTTATATAGAGGCAGGGAGGTTTATAGAAGAACTTCCAGAAGGACTGGAGGGCGCACAGCAAGAGTGGGGTGAAGAGAATGGGGTTATGGAGGGGGACTGGGGTTGGCTGGTTAATAAAGGGTTTTGGGTGCTAGACATCCAGAGCTTATTCTCTCATGTTGGAGGCTGAAAGCAGCAAGCACGAGTTAATAAGACTTATGCTTATTTACTGCAACTGTTGTATGTTTAATGTAACACGACCAGGTAGTTCATAACTATAAACCAGGATCCATGACTGGAAACTGGGATTTGGGCCTGACAAAAGCCAATTTCCTGGAGACAAGCTCCTTCAAAGCCCATGCGCTTATTTTGGAGAGCAACAAGACAGGAAAAAAAAGGAGCAGGGCATCTCGGAAAAATAACCTGAGTAACCTGGTAGGGCCTTCGGGAGGGGCAAGCCACAGAGCTGGTCGAGACCAAACCCCAGGAAGGCCTGAGCGGTGTTGAGAATCTGCGGTCCAAGGGGAGAGGGGCACACGTTACGTGCCATCCACTGAGGGCAAGCTCAGTTCGAATCTCCTTGGACTGCTGGCTAAGGAAGAAGAACTGAACACGTACTGGATGACTCCTGAAATACAATGCAAATGACAGGAAGCAGATTCTCTAAAAAGCCCACAAGGGCCAAGAATAAGGGGGGGGGGGAACCAAACAGCTGCAAGATTTTAGAGGAAAAAAAAAGCACACAAACAAGTAATACTGAACCTGACAGATACAAGAAAGCCAAATTGTAAGCTGGTGGGGAAGGTCAAGCAGCATGACTATTCATGAAACAAAATCCCCAAAGGCTCACAAATCAGCTGTAGCAGCAGTTCAGGGTGCCGTGGGACTACAACAGGAGAAGTGGTGCGAGTCTGAGAAATAGACCTGCAGAGCTGCACCTGACCCCAGCAGAAGACGCACGCTCGGCAGAGGGTCTGAGAGAGGCTGCTGGCCTGGGAGGTGTAGCAACGGGCAGGACGAACACAAGAAACATGGGAGGGGCATTCAGAAGGTAGTAAGGATTTCACGCTCCCTTCAGAGGGGATGCGAGAGCTCTCTCCACCTGGTTCCACAATCCTGGAAGCCAGAGCGTGCTCTCCAAGCAGGAAGCAGAACGCCTTCTCGGGGGAATCTGATTAGCCCAAGAGAAAGACCTGAAATCACAGCACAGAAGGTGGACTGGGCAGATGACCTGCAGCAAAGGCAAGAGTCCACACTGCCCCCACCATGCTGCAGACTAGGAGATGAAGACGACGTTCACTGTGACGCAGAAAAAACATCCTGGACACAGAATTCACAGGGAAAGAAAACTTACGGAGGAACAAAAGGAGACCTATCCAGGAAGTCCAACACCCAAGAGACAGGAGTCTAGAGAAAATCGAAGAAAACAAGATGGCATTCCAGATGGAAACACTGGAGTTTCCAGTTTAGAAGGGTCCACTGCCTACCTAGCACAACAGATGAAGACGGATCCACACCAGGAACAGTAAATGTGAAGCTTCCAAACTCTGGGAAGGGGCTGGGGTGGGGAGGAGTGGGGTGGGGAGAGAGCCTCCAACCTGCCAAACAGAAAACTGGTCCCACAAAGGACCATGTAGAACAGCTGGGAAATTCTCTAAAGCCACAGCAGAAACGAGAAAATAAACCAGCGCCTGCAAATATTCAAACAAAGATCTGAAAGCCAGGCTGCTATCCCCAGGCAGCTAAGCAAGGAGAAAGAGAGAACGAAGACCCAGCGAGATACATTTATCTTCCATGGTCCTTCCTAGGGAGCAAGTGGGGCATAGGCCTCCCCACAAATAAGGGAAAACTAAGAAAGAAAAACACAAGACACAGGAGACTAGGGACCCCTGGTAAGAGAGATAGATGCAGGAAACTAGGATCTAGCATAAGAAAAATGCAGAGGGAATCTCTCAGCTGTGGAGACCTGTAACACCAGCCCAAGAGCCACCTCTGCTGGGAGGGTGGGGGTGGCAAGAGACGTGGCCACGTAGGAATGGGGGGGGAGGGGAACTCCATGCTCAGCCCACGGGGTGATAAACAGGTAATGCCCAAAACTACAGGGGAATAAGACAAACTCAAGAGACAACAATACACACACTTGGAGAAAAAGGAAGTACCCCAAACAAACAAGACTAAGAGTCGAAAGCACCTGCTGTGGAGAACAGGTGCCTACTGTTTTTCCTAACATGATTTACTCCAAATGAACAAATGTAGAGCTTTCACAAAGATACTAATGCTACAAAAGCAAGAATACTGAATGTTCAAATTCTATGTATCTTTTTACATTTTCCTAGGAGGAGCTTAGGAAAAGTGCACATTAACAGAATGGTTCTAGGGGCGCCTGGGTGGCTCAGTTGGTTAAGCGACTGCCTTCGACTCAGGTCATGATCCCCGGGTCCTGGGATCGAGCCCCGCATCGGGATCCCTGCTCCTTGGGGAGCCTGCTTCTCCCTCTCCTTCTGCCTGCCGCTCCCCCTGCTTGTGCTCTGTCAAATAAATAAAATCTTTTAAAAAAAACAACAAAAAAAACTAGAATGGTTCTAGAAACCACATTAACTCTCCATTTGGAGAGAAAAACCTAAGAATCCTATAAGGGAAGCAAATCCTAATACAGACTCTAATATTCAAGAGTATGTTCATGTAACTTTAAGAACCTAAGCCATCACAACATGGGAAAACACTGACACATCACTAAGGTTTTATTTTTGTACACAGTTGATTAGGACTACAGATCATACTTAGATAATCGGCCTTTTCCACCCTACGGGAAAACCCACATTCACAGAGTAAACATAATTTGTCCTTACCTTCTCTTTCTTCCGAGGATGGTAGTTACAGTCTCGATCAATGTGCTCACCAACCACCACATCTGGTATCTCTCCCTTTTTTACTGGGACAGGGTTGTTACAAAGTGGGCACACTGGGACCTGAACATCCTAAAAATAATGATAGAAGATGATATTCCAGATTCAATCAAAACTCACAAAAGAAAAAGGTACGACAGCACAGTGCACTGAAAACCACATAAGGTACACACACTGATCTTCCGACCGCTCATTAGAAGGGGACACTGTTAACACAAAGGATTAACAGTAAGGCAACCCTACAGATTCAGGATAGGTGGAATCCAGGGGAATGTAAACATGACAGACTATTAACCAACTGTAGAAATGACCCTGAGACGATCAGTAAAAGGCAGCCAAAGAAAGAGGCCGATGAAATTGATCTGGTCTCAGGGCAGCAGGGCTGTCTGTCCAGCACCATCTCGGCGAGTGGTGAAGCAGCCCGAATCCCTCAGAATGGAGAGAAAGAAGAAAACACTAGCCATAAAGACCCTCCAGTTCCCTTCAATTGCCAACAGCCTATCTGGTTCTTTTGTGGCTTTCACACGCAAGGAGATTCACTCACCTGACAGAGCACACGGCTAGGCTGAGCTCTCAGGTACCTAATGACCCAAGACTGTGGGGGCTCTGGAGGGAAGAACAAAGCACCCAGCAGCTGCATGCCCAGCAGTTAAAAAACCTCAGAGCTAAGGCAGGAGCTAAGGAAATTTAGCTCACAAAGAAAACAGAGGTGACAACTGACATCCAAACAGTTAATCAAAGAATTATGGGGCCTACTGTCTGTAGGGGCTGAGCTGAAGGGTCACCCAGAAGCACTCCCTCAGTTGACAAGTCCGCCATATTGAGAAATAAAGCATTACTAATGATCTCTAGCCACACTCTCCCTATCTAGAGACATGGGGAGGTCAAGCCAACAAATAAACTGGGTAATGTGGCCTAGTCATCGGGGCCTGGTAAATGAGTCACCCTCCCCCGCCCTCCATGATGACCTAGAAAATCCTGGCCAACACTAATGAAAGCATGTAACAATGCTAAGTCATCCATGTTTCTAACTGCCATCCTACAGAAGCAGCAGTACAGATACAAAGAAGTCACTAAAATAACCTCTGAACCACCGGAAACAAAATGAATACAGGGCCACCTGCAAAGTCAGTAACAGAGGTATCACACCTTTGGACTCACACATGCTGGTTTTCTTAGAGTCCTCTTCATCTTCCCATTTTTACTAGGTACTATTTGCCACTAAATAGGATCCCAAGGCTGCAAAGTTACCCAGATAAGCCTTTTTAATACCTCCCAGATTAGATACCTTGTCAACAATTAAACTATTTCTTGCGCTTCACAAAGATACTGCTATGTTTTTTCTCGACATAACGAATCAAAGGACCAGAATATTTTAACATGCAAAGTAAGCTTTGAAGGTTTGGATACAACAATTTGACTTCAAGAGCCCCTAAAAATGAAACCAGTTGCTTTAGAGCTGTGCCATCCAGAACTCCCTGTGATGGTGGAAACGTGCCACATCTGCACTGTCCAATACAGTACTTCCTGGCCACATGTGGCTGCTGAACACCTGAAATGTGGCTGGTGCAACTGAGAAGCTGGATTTCAAGTCTCATTCCATTTTAATGCATTTATTAGCTATATGTGGCTAATGTCTACTATTTGGACAGCACAGCTTTAGAGAGTGAAAAATAGACTCTTTGGAATGAAGTATGATAAATTACCTTCTTGAATGCAAAGGGACATTTATGTGCAGCACAAGTAAAATGGTCTTTACAGAAATCTTGTTTACATGCATCACATTTTAAGGGAAGAAAATCTAAAACAAAAAAACAATAGCATTTTAAAGATCAGGACAAAAAGAATTACAGAGCACATTAAACAGGTATTTACCTACACTGAGTTCTTTACGCCTATCAAATGTATCCTTGAGGTACCACATGTGAGAAAAAAATTGGGGATCATGAATTTCACAATGCCAGCAATACTGAAGAATCTATAAGGCTATGCTTTCTTTTCAAGATTTTATTTCTTTCTTTTAGAGAGAGGCTGCGGGGGGTAGGAGGAGGGCACAGAGAGAAACTTAAGCAGACTCCGTGCTTAGCTCAGGAGCCCAACGCAGGGCTCCATCTCACAACCCCGAGCCAAAAACCAAGAGTCGGACGCTTAACCAACTGAGCCACCTAGGCACCCCTGTAAAGCTCTCTTTTCAAAAGACACCCATCCCATGTAGTATCACAAATATTTAAGCAGCACACTTGTATCCACTTGGCCTTGGCCCTGGTACCTGGCCTTCAGTAGATGCTGAATAACAGGGCTGAACAGAACCTGCACCTCAGGCCAGCCTTCCAACACTGAAAGGCCAGCCAAGCCAAGACCCAGAGAACAGCTAATTAACAAAACGGCTAGTTCTCCCCGACTAAACAGGTAACAAAACACACATTTTCTAACATTCTCTTAAAAGCACTTACCTAGGGCGCCTGGGTGGCTCAGTTGGTTAAGCCACTGCCTTCAGCTCAGGTCATGATCCTGGAGTCCCGGGATCGAGTCCCGCATCAGACTCCCTGCTCAGCGGGGAGTCTGCTTCTCCCTCTGACCCTCCCCCTTCTCATGCTCTATCTCATTCTCTCTCTCAAAAAATAAAATCTTTAAAAATAAATAAATAAATAAATAAAAACACTTACCTAGCTGTTTGCAAGTTTTTTCTGAACAATGCTTCCCCAAATCAGGGAACTCCATTATGAGGAAGTGTCCAAAACACAGATGGCAGATAGATCACCTACAAGAATTAAAATAGTTAGGAAAGGTACGATGGCCATAATTTCAGTCCCGAGAGTTCATAACTTACCGCTAAGAAAATAAACATGCTCTGTGGGAAGCATTCAATGCCCAAGTCATCCTGGGCCCCTGCAGAGCACTAAAGCATCACAAATTCTTGCTGCCTTTCAGCAAAAAGGAGCTTGAGTACAAGTACCAGCTCCTTCAGGATCCATTATGACAGCGACTGTTTCTTGGTCCTTTAATTTCCTACTTGAAAAAGCTCACCCAGAATTCAGGTTTGATTAAAACCATTCTGACTCACGTTGACAGGGTTTTCCCATATTCAACTTACACAAATGTCTGCAAAAAGTTGGGCCACAATTTCATGGAATGAGTATACTTGTTGACATACACAAAACCGTTACGAGGCACTAAATCACGTTAGTTGACGACACTATCCCCAAGAGCTTCAACTCGTCCCTCCGGTTCTCAACTCCCTCATGCATTGAGTTTTACTTACACCTTGCTCCCTAAGGACAATCAACCTGGAGTTGAGGAGGGAAAAGAGCAAGTGCTTAACTCACGGCGGAAACTAGGTGGACATGGGCTGAAGCTACTCTGGGGGGAACTTGAGTCCGTAACAGGCCTCACGAGGTCCCTTCCAGGACCTAGCACCCACAACACTCTCAAGAAGTCCCTCCCAGAAGTCAGGTCCTGAGGGTCCACTCCGAGGAGGCTCTGCCATGCTGTCCCCAGCTCCCCCCCCGCTCCTCCCCTCGGGTCACGGTGCAGAGTCACTTCCTCCAAAGGGGCCTTCGCCCCGACCGTCACAGCTTCCCTACACCCTCAAAGGACTCTGTAATTCCCGTCCCCGCACCCACTCACTACGGCCCCAACTGCAGGCGGGCTCTCCACTGCCCGCGCCCCGGAGCGCAGGACCGCGGCGGGTGCGCCCGTGGCAGTCTCATCGGGCCCAGCCCTTGACACAGCAGCGGTGAGAGCCCACGGTCGGGGGCTCGTTCGACTAGCACCTGAAGCCCTCCCCGGCGTGCGAATCGGGCCCCCGCGCCCGTCCCCCGTCCCCGGACCTGGCTCTCGTCGGGCGCCCGGGCGGCTGCGGAGGCGAGCGGGAGGCGGCGGACACGGGAGGCGGGATGTCCCTCCCAGCGGTCACCCACAAGGGACAAGACCAAAAGGCTGGGGAAAATGGGATCCGAGGGGCGGCCCCGCGCGGTCCAAGCCTGCGGGAGAGCGAAGCATCGCGTATCGCCGTTTCCCCAGCCATTTATGCCCGGCCTCGGGTTCAAAGAGCCGCCGCGACTCGTATCCGCCCGGCGCGCTCCGATGACGTCACCGGCCGGCCGGCCAATCTCGCCCCGCTGAGGCTTGGCGTTCCCGAGGCGTCCCGAGACGTCAGCGCCCGGCCGTCCAATCCCGCCCCCGCCGCGGCCCCGTCGGCCCGCCCACTCCTCGCTCCTCCGCCTCCCTTCTCGAACAGTCCGGCCGCTTCTCGGAGCCGCTGAGTCACGGTGAGGCGGAGCCGCGCAGGCGCACTCGGCCGGTTGCGCGGCGCGGGAAAGCTGAGTCACGGCGGCGAGGCCGCGGCCGTTCGGCGGCCGTGTGGAGGGGCGGCCTCACTGGGAGCCGCGCACTGAGAGGGTCCGAGCCCGCGCCGTAGAGGTGCCACCGCGAGGTACGGAGCCGGCACGGCCGGGCGGCGTGGGCGCGGGGGGCGCCCCGAGTGGGAGAGGGGGGCCTGACCGTGGGGGAGAGGACGCCTTCCGCCTCGACGGAGAGCTTGCCTGTCCTCGCCTCGTGGGCTCCCCGGGTGCTGCCGCGTCCCTCACGGGTCCCCTCCCCGCGGTCCCCTTCCCACGTCTCCTCACCGCGTCCTCTGTGTTCCTTCCCCGGGTCCCCTCACTGGGTCCCCTCATCATGTCCCTTCGCCGGCTTCCCTCACCACGCCCCCTCCCCGCGTCCCCTCACTATGTTCCTTCACCGGGTCCCCTCACTGCATCCCCTCCCCACATCTCCTCCCCGCGTCCCCTCCCCGCGTCCCCTCCCGGGTCCCCTCCCTGCCTCTCCTCACCTCGTCCCCTTTCTGCATCTCCTCACTGCGTCGCTTTACCGTGTCCCCTGAGCAGTTCTGTCGCACTCCTGCCCCCCCACAAACGTGTGCGCGGGTGGCTTTTGTCTCCGAGCGTGTTATTTTGTGAGGTCCCAGCAAACTGAATGAGCAGGTGCTCTGCGGGTACCTGGTCAAGCTCGCCAGGAGCCTCAGGTCGCCTCCAGCAGTCAACCCCTAACCTTTTCTCACGTGTTTCTGTTTAAAGACAACTTGCCTTGATACGTTGTTGGTTTGTTCACACTGAACTCAGGGCCAGCAGTGCCTAAGTCATGTCTGAACCCAGCCTGTCTGCTGCTGTTCTCTGTAAGGTGCATCGCCGCCTCCTGGTACTTAGGAAACGGGACAGCACCTAAACTCCGGCCTGAAGGCCACTTGAAACCGGAAGAGTGCCACCAGAAAGCTCAAAAATGTGAAGACCATACACTAAATAGGCTGTGGAACGGAAGCTTATTTCCCGTATCAGAACTGAAACAAGAAAGAAGGAAGGTGTCATCTTGTCCCACCTTGACTGGAAGTGTGTTTCTCAGGCAACTCAAGTTTTTTGCTGCTCAGTACATGTTGGCGAATAACTGCTGAAGTACCACAAGTGTTGATTTTGGAGTTACAAATGAATTTAGCAGATAGGCAAATTCACAAATGTGGAAACCACAAATAACAAGAATTGTGTGTGTGTGTGTGTATTTGTACGTGTACATACCCATTTTCCTTAGTCTTTTTCTGAACCGTTTGAGGATGTGCTATAGACGTGATACCCCATCACCCCAAATATTTGCGTGTATATTTCCCAAAAGCAGACACTCCTTCGTAGCCATTCTGTAACCATCCACATGAGGAAATCAGTGTCAAAACAGTATTAAGGTCCAATCCACAGACTCCATTGGATTTTGCCAACTATGTCAATGTCTCTTCTTCTTTTCTGCTCTCGGGTCCCATCCACAATCATATGTGCAGCCTCCTTCATGCTGGGAGAGGTCTTCCATCCTTCTTGTCCCTAATAGTTTTTATTATTAAAGACCACAGACTTATGCATATGAGATGTCTCGGGGTCCATGGGCGTTTCCTGAGGACCAGATGCAGGTCATGTTTCTTGGTAGGAATACCACAGGAATGGTGCTGTGCTGCAACCCATCCTACCATGGGTGATACTCATCTTGATTACCTAGTCATGTAGATGTCTGCTAGGTTTCTCCTTTTTTTCATTTGTAAATATATTCGTATTTTGTAGGGAGATATTCAAAAATTCCACCATTCTTTCTTTTTTTTTTTTTTTAAGATTTTTATTACTTATTCGTTTGAGACAGAGAGAGACAGAGAGCAGGAGTAGTGGGGAGAGGCAAAGGGAGGGAGAAGCAGGCTTCCCACTGAGCAGGGAGCCCGAAATGGGGCTTGATCCCAGGACCTGGAGATCATGACCTGAGCTGAAGGCAGATGCTTAACCATCTGAGCCACCCAGGCACCCCCCATTATTTTATTCTTTATCAACTTTTGCCTGATGACTTTAAGTTCTATCAGTGACTTTTGCCTGGATCACTATGATCATTGCCAAAGAGTGCTTTTTATTTTTTTAATTATTTTTTAAAGTAAGCTCTACACCCAGTGTGGGGCTTGAACTCACAGCGCTGAGATCGAGTCACCTGCTTTACCAACTGAGCCAGCCAGGCGCACCCCCCCACCAAATAGTGCTTTTTAAAATTTCCATTGTTCATTTCACATTTATTAGTTGGTGTTCTATAAGGGAGAAGCTTCCTTTTTGTTTTTTATTTATTTATATCAGTATGGACGTGTGGATTTCTCTATTCAGTGGTGGTGCTCTGCTGCTGTCCTTTTGATGGCCAGAGCCACGTCTAGCTGGCTCTTGAGTCTTTCTGACATGTCCCTGTCATCCTGTCATTCTTTGCTCCCTTCCTTGCCTAGCCATTTCTCCAAGGAGCTTTGTTTCTTTTTAGTGGAGGATGGTATTTAGAAATCAAGATTTGAGTGATGCCTGGGTGGCTCAGTCAGTTAAGCGTCTTCCTTTAGCTCAGGTCATGATCCCAGGGTCCTGGGATTGAGTCCCACATCGGGCTCCGTCCTCATCAGAGAGCCTGCTTCTCCTTCTGCCTTCCGCTCCCGCTGCTTGTACATGCACTCACTCACGCTCTCTCTCTCTCTCTCTGACAAATAAATAAATGAAATCTTAAAAAAAAAAAATCAAGATTTGAGTGTGTGGTGTGCTTATTGCTAGTAAGGTTCATTGCTTCCAGGCCTCAGTGAACGTGGGTCAGGAAATGTATGTATATTTGCTTATATATAAAGACACATCTATAATTGTCTTTACTTGTATATATATTTTTAAGGAAAACATTCATATCCTTATTTTCAATTCCAATCCAACAACTCAGGATTTTTGGAATCTTCTCTTTGTGTTTATAAATAACTTCTCCAGCAATAAAAACCCAAGTTTCATTATTCTGTTTTTTTATTTTTCAGTCTATGTATTTATTTGCTTAATGTAACAAACCACTCAGGCCATCATCTCCACCTCCACACCTGCTTTGTGCTCACCCCCTCAGCACTCCACATCCTTGAGCAATTGTAGGCACTGCTTCCACAAACTCCCTCCACCTTCTTCAAATTGGTCAAAATCCAGTGCCAGTCAAAGCTTTCAATTTTCTTCCAGAAGGATTCTTTAAAAGAAGATAATTTACTAAGGAAGCATAAATACAAATACAAGCCTTTAAAATCATTGTCATTATTTGTGGGTCAAAAATCACATATGTATTATTATCTTTTTAATAGTCCTAGTGCAGAACTTTAATTTCTCAGGTCTTCCAGTAAATACAAATACTCACTACTTCAATCCTATAGACACTCAGATTTCCAAAAGTCAAGAATGTTAAGTAATCAGAGTGTTAAAAAATAAGTTATAATTAAATGAATCAATTACTATTAGAAAGTGGGTTAGATATTGCCCTTTCCTGTGAATTTTATGCTAATGTTGAAGTGAAAAACCTTTAGATCCACATATTCCCAGATTATCTGGGTCTTGCTACAACCAATTGTAACACTAAAATGTGAAGTTTTATATTTACATTAACTACTGAGTTTTAGAGGAAAAATCCAAATTCTTGCATGGAATCAAATTTGCCATGCTGCAAATTCATAGTTTTGCACTTGGTAATATTTCTTATTGCTGCTGTAACAAATTACTGCAAGTTAAGTGGCCTAAAACACAGACATACTATCTTACCATTCTGGAGGTCAGAAGTCAAAAATGCATCTGAAGCCTAAAATCAAGGTGTTAAGGCAACATTCCTTCAGGGGGCTGTAGGACATACCTTCTGTGCCTTTTCCAGCTTCTGGAGGTTGCCCGTGATCTTTGGCCCATCACATCACCTCAACCACTACTCCATTGCCACATCTTGTCTGACTCTTATTCTCCCCCTTTCACATAAAAGGATTGCATTGGGCCTACCTGTGCAATCCAGGATTATCTCCGCACTGAGGATCCTTAGCATGAGCACATCTACAAAGTCCCTTTTGTCATGTGAAATAACAGATTTGTGGTTCTAGGGATTGGGACATGGACATTGGCGGGGGCGGGGGGTGGATTATGCTGCCTACCACAGGTAGTGACCACACTGCCATAGAAAAAAAACAAGATTACTTTTTTTTTTTCTCCGAGGGGGGTAGGGGCAAGGAGGAGAGGGAGAGAAAGAATCAGAGCCTGATAATGGGGCTCAATCTCAGGACCCTGAGATCATGACCTGAGCAAAAATGAAGAGTAGGACGCTTAACCGACTGAACCATCCAGACATGTTTCTTGGTAGGAAACAGACACGCCTGTTTAAAGATTATGTTCTTTAAAATAAAAGTAAAACGTGGGTGCCTGGGTGGCTCATTGGTTGAGCGACTGCCTTCGGCTCAGGTCATGATCCTGGAGTCCTGGGATCGAGTCCCGCATCAGGCTCCCTGTTCAGCAGGGAGCCTGCTTCTCCCTCTGACCCTCCTCCCTCTCATGCTCTCTATCATTCTCTCTCTCTCAATAAATAAATAAAAATCCTTAAAAAAATTATTAAAAAAAATAAAACGTTAAAAATTTTCAGTGTTATACTTTTATCTCCTTTTTAAAATGTAAAAAAGTATTTAATGAAAAACATCCAAATTTTGAATAAATGTTTTCAATACAACCAGATTCACAAATGAGTTTTTAACCAAAGAAAATAAATGTAATTGGTTGGACGCTATCTCACCTCCCCAGACACAGACACAACAATCACATGTGTGCACACATACATGGATGGGCATTTGCATGCCTTGTGCGGACCAGAATTCGCCCACAGCATGAGCTGGCACATGGGGAGTGTCAGGAGAAGATGTGAAAGTGGACACCCAGGGGCTTTTCCAGGAGTGCACATGGTCTACCTCTGCTGTTCTTTTTGGTCCTGATCTGGCTAAGACCACACCAAATTGTGGGAACAAAATATCAAGTCAGATTTTTAAAATGCAGCTTTTGCCATTAACTGAAGTCTGCATTCATACAAAAAGTTGCCACTAAGCAGAAGTTAAGTGACCTCCGTACATCTTCTTACCACATCAAGATTAAGGGCTTCCTAAGATGTCCTCTGAGAACTGCCTTGTGGTCAGCAGGGAAGGAAGGACCTTGTAATATGACGGTCCACGGGGGAGCGGAGACAGACCTTGGAGCCTTGGTTGGCAAACCTCAAGAAATCTGCTTCAAAGGAAGAGGCCACAGTGCATGTCCACTTAACACTATCCTCTATCAAGGGACCAGTGTTCTTCACCAAGAGGTCACTGTTATGATCTCTATTTTAAATACAGGGAAACCGAAGTATAGAAATGTTTGAAACACAGGCTCCTGAGTCCACATTTGCAATTCTTTCTCTGCTACCGATGCTAGCTAGAGATGAGGGTGGAGAGGCAGGCTGGGACCAGACCATGCAGACTTTATCTTGAATGCAAAGAGGTATTGTTGAAAACTTATAAAAGACTGACCTTGAGCAGTGGACAGGGCACAAAGTTTATATATACTTCACACAACTGTACAAAAAAAAATAAGTTTCTCTGTTTTCTAAAATGAAACTTAGCTTTTTTTTGGAGCCCCCAGACTGCCGCAGGCCAGCAGCTGTTCTCATCCCAGCCTGCAGTTTTTGTTTGCTGTCTGTCTGGGTCCAGTTCATCTCGACCTCAGTCACTGTCCGGCTCAAATCTTGGTTATTCCAAGCCTTCTTCCTCCAAATACTTCCTTTCTTCTTCAGAGGCATCTGGGGTTGGGGAAGCTGGATAGATAATCTCACGGCAGCAGAGGCTCTGACATACATGCCAGCCAGTTCCTCCCTGGCCCCTGCGGGTAGTGAGACCTGTCCCACCACCTGCTCATAGGCTAACATTTGCTGCTGCTGGCCTCTGATCATGAGCTCATTAACATGCATTGTTAACCTGTCCAGACCCTAAGTTACATGTTTCAGTGACTTTCCCAGGGTCCCATGCCAGTGCACGTGGGGGTTTTGGGAGTTTCCTATAACTTTCATGAGGAGTATGGCTCTAGAGGCACCATCTCAGGTCCTCTCCCTGTTTGACCACATCCTAGGTATCCTCTACTGCACTCTCCCTGCATTGGCGCAGAGAAGTGTGCCTCTTCCAGAGGTAGAGAGGGGAAACCAGGCATGGACCCCTCTGCTTTTATATTATCCTTCTACTCATCTGAATTGTTTGTCATTCAACTGAGGGTTGTAGCATGAGCATCGGGTCCATTCTCAGGGACCCAGACAGGTGTCTTCTCTTTCAAAACTCTTCAACCTTCTCCCCAGCCCTGGAAATAATTTTTTACCTAGGTTGCAGGAAATTGCTCTCATATTATATCTTTGGGTTTCTTGCTCTAGGGTAAATCTCCAAAGCTTTGGTTCCTGGTTCTTTTTTCTCTCTTTTGAAAGCCTTGCTTTTAAGATTGTGGCTTGCTATGAGCTCTTAGAAGTTTAGGTTTAAGGGCGCCTAGGTGGCTCAGTTGGTTAAGCGACTGCCTTCGGCTCAGGTC